ACCGTCTCCTAGATGGGTTGCAGACCAATGCTAACGACGCCCATCCCGTCGAAACAGTAAAACACTGTATATTTTAGGGAACCAAGATTAGGGGAAGATAGTATCTGACCGACAGTCACCTTGACCTCCACTGTCGCCCTAGGCCATCAACATTGCCGTGCTGGCACGCCGGATCTGCCACTATCCGAGGCTTATCAGCGTGGATTGCCTTCACCGCCGAGCCAGACTTACATATACGATGCGAGAGGTGGCCACATTTCCGTAATGGGTTTTGATTTCGGAGTTTACCGTCTCCTAGATGGGTTGCAGACCAATGCTAACGACGCCTATCCCGCCGAAACAGTAAAACACTGTATATGTAAGGAAACCACAATAAGGGGATGATTGTTTCTGACCGATAGTCACCTTGACCACCACTGTCGCCTTAGGCGATCAACATTGCCGTGCTGGTAGGCGTACCAGATTTCCTTCGGGATCTGCCACTAACTAATGGACACTATTTCTATATATTACACAAATTTGTGTAGAAAATTCAAGGAAGTTTTTAAAACAATAATTATCTCTGCAAAGTGCTGTATCAATCAATTTATGAAATACCTAAGTATAGATTTGTTCATAATTTAGAAATATATCTGCTTGACATAAAGAAACCCGCAAGAATCAGTAAGGAAATGGAGACACATTCATATAATATATTAATACCACGCGCAACAGTGTATAAAAAATGTGCTTAGAACTCGACAAAGGCTTGAATAATATGGCATTATTGTTTATACTTTAGAAAATTCGATAATGGTTAGAAAAATCGAAAAAATTGGCCCTCATAAAATAAGATAAAAACTACTACTAATGTTAGATTCGAAAAATTACACGCAATGTGAATTAGTTCTAATCTTATATTGTAGTTTATTCTAGTAAGTTATTACCCACCCGAGAAAGCTCATAAATAGAATGCACCACCACTTACAGAAAACCAAAAATTTACGCCTGGAACTTAAATCTCTTCTTCGTTAATTAGAAATCCCTACTACACTCACAATATAAATATTTTCACTGTGTCAATGACTATGAAATTATTCGTCTATGAATTGCTGGTATCCACTCAATCTCCAACTCGCCGTACTACTTGGAGAATCCCTAGTTGTTTTATGACTCTCGAATAAAAAAAATATAATGTGTCAACATTGAACTGGAATAACAATGAAAACTTTATAAATTTATACTAACACTAATAATTTAAAAAAATTACCCACCTCCCACCCGCGCGTTTTCGTAAATAGAATGCAAGGAAAGAGCAACCGCTGAAAAATGGGAAGAATATGTTTACTCAAAAAAATTGTACATGCGGCCGCGCAACTGCCGATGCACTAATCTGCCCTTTCGTCTCCCTCCCTCCCACAGTTCGTTAAAATGTATATTTGGCACAACCTATCTATCGACCTCAACTATGAGTGCCTTTACTCCGTACAAGCCCAATGCCATTTCATATTACAAATACTTTTATTTCTGTTAAAGAATATTAATTAATTCGTCTGTTTATTTCTGATATCGACTCAATCTCCACTTCGCTGTTCTACTTGGAGAATCCCTAGTTTTTATTATTCTCGAATACAAAAGTATAATGTATTAAATTCAACTAGATTAACAATTAAAATTAAAAATTTATAAATTTATACTAACATTAATAATTTAAAAAAATAACCCACCTCCCACCCACGCGTATTCATAAATAGAATGCAAAAAAAGAGTAACCGCTGAAAAACGGGAAAAACATGTTTACTTAAAAAAATTGTACATGCGGCCGCGCAACCGCCGATGCACTAAACTGTCCTTAACCCTCCCCCTCCCACTCTCCCTTCTTCCCACCCCCAATCTGTTATAATGTATATTTGGCACAACCTATATATCGACCTACGCATCCGTGTATTCCCTATAGTATCCCTACTAATTATACTTATGCCTTACGGTAGACCCAATGTCCTTTCGAGTAAATTCATTTCACTGTGTTGATGACTTGAGAACTTGTACTTTCTATGTAGTCCTTATGAGGCTAACAGTATATTACTATTTTATGGAGTTGATATCAAAATCGCCTATCACAAGGCTAATCACAGTGTAGTTCTAGTTACTTATTTTAATTTAAGATGAGTTTTAAGTCTATTTCTAAAAAACTACACTTATTTTTTTCAAATGTCCGAATTATCTTTAATGCATGAACCATTTCACAGTTACAAACGAGCTGCAAAAGTAACTGACAACTGATTCATTATATGATTAATATATTGCCGTATTTAATATAGCTTTCTATTTTCTACCAACAACCAATGATTTAATAATTTCCTAAGTAGATTTCATATAATGGACAATAAGTTTTTTTTTATTTAATATCTAAGAACAGTATTTTTAGTTATACGAAGGTGTATTTTTATTCTATTTCTAACAGTAAACATTTAAATTCTAAAAGTTTAAACTTGCTACAACCTGACAAATTATTTGTCCAAAAACACATTTTTTTTTAAGATTTTATTTATTTTTTTGTTTTTTTTTTATTTTTTAAGAATTTATATTATACATTTATATTTCTTTTTTATTTTTTTTATAATTTTATATATCAAAATATATAGAAGTAATCTTCTATTTTTTATAATCGAACATCAATCATCTACGAACGGCTATTAAGAATGACTTGAATTCAAGAAAAATATACTGTTTTTTAAATGGCACACAGGCCCTAATTTCTTATACTATACATCAACATTAAGATATATTTTAAATAACTTGTTCCATATTTGAAACTATGTAACTACGAACTAATCATAAACTAACGGACTGGCTGGCCGCCCGTTAGTTTGTATACTTAGTAGTTTTGGCTTTAGAGGAAACAGTCAGCCAAAAAAAGAATTTTATAAAAATAATTTTGTGTAGGGTAGTATTTGGATAAATTAAAATTAAATATTACAATAAGGAGAGATAGTTCACAAACATATTCGGGTGCCAAGATGCAAAGAAATTCAGATCAGTTATGTTTTAATATGTGGAATACTCAAACTGAAAGCAGTTAGCAATCTCGGTATTTGACCATAGAAATGCTCAAGAATTAACATCAAACAAATGAAGACACCGTAATATTTCAATTATATTTTGTATATAAAACCTGCGAGGAAACTCTAGAGTTCAACACCGAATAAAAATATAGAAGACAAGAAGAAATATCTATTAAATTGAAAATAATATATAGTTATAATTTATATTCGGCACCATTTATCTACCGTCCACTGCTGACCTCACCTAAGCTTCCGATGACTCCCTACATAATTTAAGGTCATCGCTCTATCTCACTTGTCTTACACTATGTTTACCTGTACAGGGACGCTAGTCTCTCCATACTGCTTTATACTAAGGCCATATATATATATAGACCTACTCACATTTCGTGTCAAAATTGTTTTTCACACTGTTGTTATTAGTTTCTCTGTGAATTGCTGTTATTGATTTTATTCAGTCATACATGCAGCTAACAGTGTAAGATCGTGTTTCTGTTCCGTACATTATAACTTAACAATACGCACCGTTTAAAGACTCACATCTTTAAATTTAGTGGTAATTTTTAAATAAAAAAAAATATGTATTTATTGGTGCCGATCATACGGGGGTTTGCCAAAAGTTGTCACGGTTGGCAATTCGGTTGACAACCCATTTTATTAATGTTTATAGTGGACGTTGGTACCCTTCCCCCACTATTGTCCCTTAGTCGGCTCTTACGACACCCACGGGAAGAAATGGGGTGGACTATTCTATGCCGGTCACCACACGGCTAACCAATTATTTTATTTTTGTATGGTAAAAATATTTCTGAATATTGTAATATACTATTAATATGGAAGTAATGAAGAAAAAAATATATTTATATGTATTAGTATGACTGATTACCCACCACCCACCCGCGCAAACTGATTAATATAATGTCAGGAAAAAGTAACTACTAAATATATAGAATCAGCGCGCAACTACAGATAAAACAGTTCCGTTTCGAACGGTTTTTTTAAAGTTAGATTGGAAAAGAGACTCTCGGCTAACTTATGTAAAGTAGCCCAACTAGCAAAATGTCGTATATGTAAATATAGTGACAGTGTTAGAAAATTACTTAATTGTGCCTAAAATGTTATTAAATACTAACGGTCTTATTCATAAAACTTAAGAAGCCTTTATAAGCCCACTATAGCAGTGCTATAAAGGCTTTATAAAAATCTCTATAAGTAATAAATCGTAACGGAGTAGAATGAGGCCGAAGGAGGTAGGATAGAATAGAGTAAAATGGAGTAAAGTATACAATAAAGTAGATTGGACGAGAAGGAATGCGGAATAACGAGAGGAGACGAAAAGAGGAGGGAAGGGAAATAGGTTTTATAATGTTAAGTTTAAAATAGTTAATTTATTATAATATAATGTAAATATAAATTGTAATTAAGATGATGATCAGAAGACGAACTGACTCAAGTTACCTGTTTCATATATATATAGCTGAGTTTTGATTGGCCCATGCCAATAATAAATAAATGTGTCGCAATTTAATATACAATATCGTCTGAAAGATTTTTATTAGCGTTCGATAGTTGCACTTTAAGCGCAGAAATACCCGCTATTCCATTATTGTACACGACGAAGTGGCTATATATGACTTTGACAAAGTATAATCGGAAAATGATTGTTTAAGTATTTGTTGTTTCTGGTTTCTGTAATAATAAACCCTAAGCCCCTGGTATTCAAAGATATACAATAAATACGACATAAAAATATTGAAGATAACAATAACCTTGTAGAAAAATTATATAATTAAATTTAGTATACTTAACATAGTAATATAATTAACTAACTAAGTTATAAAGTTAATGATAATTATCACAGATATTAAAGATAAATAACAGTAGATAAATTTAGATATGCATTGCACTGAACGATTTTGCACGCCATTTAATAGTCAATTTTTAGTAATATGTCATTTATATTAGTGCTTCAACAGTGCGGTCTATGGAAATATAGGAAGCTTTAAATACATGGTCATCGGTAACGGGCAAATCGTTCAGGCCGAAAACAGCGTTCCTGACCTGCTCGTCGCTGCGGTATTCAACGTAAACCACGTTGCCAATGTCGACACTTGGATGTAGGCTGAGAAATCCAGGGAACCTACAAATTAAAAATGTATGTAGCATACAAACCTCTAGTAAATTATACTTGATAAACAGATATACACTTGTATATTCCCATAATGTTAAAGAACTTTTCTAAGAAAGCGTATAAGTTAGAATAGGGGAATCTATCTATCAAACGATTTTAATAACAATAAACTTTTTCACCAGTTTCAGTTCCAACCCTGGTTTTGTTTTAAATTATTATTTAAAACAAAACCAGGGACGACGGAAATACTGCGTATACTAATCATTGAAGAGATTTATTAAAATTGCGGGCAATAGTTAGAACCTCAAACTATAGTATGTAAAGAGATGCTACGCATAGTAGCCGAGCGCTACGCATGCGCTACGCACACTTGATACGCCCGACCCTTTTGCTGCGCATACGTTCTACGAACTCCTACACGCTGTTAAGATTTTAGGATAAAGCTCACTCATCTCACTCACTCAAAACACAAATTTATAAGATAGTCTACAGGCATTTCAAAAATGTGTGTGTTCAAATATTCAAATATTACCGAATAAAATTTTTCTTTAATCCTAACAAAGCTTTAGAATGTAGCCAGTACGGATGACACGCGAATTTTAATATGAAACAAACATCCAGAGCTATAAAAGACTTGACTGTGTGAGATATATGTACATTATACATGTACCTAATATGTAGATTAAATGCTCGCGTATAATGTCTATTGTAGATAATTATTTATTTACGGAAAATAAATTGAAATTTATTGCAATATGTCAATTTATGAAACTATACGAAAAATTTAATTGACACCCAATAAATTCGATAAAAAGAATCCCGATTTCTAATACCGAAACATATTGACTTTTATGGTTTAATTGATTATTAAACTAGAGACCGGTAAAAAGTATTGGATGGCGAAGACGCAAAAAGAATTTCAACGAGCGTAACCACCGAATTTTGGTGACCGCTATACATTTAATAAAAGTGTAGCCGATCGTGGTATGCATATGAAAGATATATGATAAAACTCGAAAGTTGAAATCTAGCCGACATAAGAAAAACTATGTGTGTCATATTATATTTCAGACTAACTATGCCGTTATGGAAATACTGAATACTCTTTACTGATTTTAATTCAAATCCTATCTAGCAAAATATGGGCATGCCACTTGTTGCGTTTAGCATGATGCCGGCAATTAGATGTATAGAACATTTAAAATCTGAAAAACAAGTTCGTCCAACATGTATTCAATACTAGATCTCTGATGATTATAAGTACACAATCTTGCAGTGAACATTCAGGATACGGAAGCATAACATCTAAACCTGGATTCGCATAATCAAATACAGACCGAACGGCCCGTACCAACGCCGTTCGATTGGTACTTATCCGCGACGGTAGTCTATCGATACAGCTTTATTTCTGATGGGTCCAATTCCTTCCACGATACAAACTTTGTATTCATGACATGAATAATTGTTTGTATAAGTCTCGCTTTAAATATGTATGTAATTTAAAAATGAATCTAATCATTCGTATCAGTTGTCAAGTACCCATAACAAATACCCTTTTTTGCTTGGAACTAGATGGCGCTATATGAAATGTGTCCAAAAAATTCTATTATTATTGTTTCTAAAGAGGGCGGGGCATAGCAACCAAAACGCCAATCGAATTGCGTCGTCGTACTAGCCATCCGACTCTTATCACAAATACGTGGGGGTTCTCAGTCCTACGGAATAGAAATGCATCTATTAGTACACCGCTAAGGAAGATATGGTTACGTGGTCCATGGCGGTCTTCCTGTATATAGACGACGGTTACCACTTGCCACCGGATGATTACCGTCATCTTGTTTACCATTATAGTTACATAAATAACCATATCAATATTAGAATGAAGTTTACCTGGTGACGTATTGCAGGAGAAAAGCTTGAGTTACATAAGGCTGTCTAAAAACAGGAAAGTCGGATAGTCTCACACAAATTTTTGCAGAAGATAATGGAGCTAGTAAATTTTTTGAAATCGAATAGATGACGGGGAATGGTATCTTAAGGTCAGTTAATTTACACCAGTGTCTTTGACTTAGTTGTTTTACTGAATCAGCAAATTTACTCTCTAAGCAATTATCGAGAGATGATGCATTACACTTGCATTTACATTTGCAAGGACAGACATGTGACCGACTTCCCCGTCTGCTCGTCATTTCAATTGCGCTCTCATTTGATTGAGTTGACGAAGAGAAGCAACATAAGCTGCTCAGTAAGCCCCGCCTCCTAGATGTTGATGGTATGGGCGGCGTTTGTATAGGTGCAAGACTTATTTTGTCGAAGTCGATGTTTTCGTAATGTCTGCGATTCTCTACCGTAGGTGTTTGGGTAGTATCCGATGGTCTGATATCGTCAGATGTTACCGTTGAGTTTGTCATAGGCATGGTTTGAGGCCCTTGATCGATGTTGTTGTCAATTTCAGAGACCTCGCTGCTAGTATCCCCGGAACTTTTTCTCCCAAGTAAGTAAGTCCATATTATATCAATACAACATGGACTTACTATGGGAGATAAGTCCGAGTCGTACTGAACCGAGGATTGCAATGAGCTGTATGTATTTGAGTGCCTGGAGTCGTCGTCGGGTGAAACGGGTCTTACCGTTTCACCCATTTTGTTTGTTTTTTTTTTTTACGGATACCTGCGAATGAAGAAACGTATTAGTAACCAAGTTATTTATACAAATTAAAAACAATAAAAAATAAAAAATGAGGGCAACTGTTTTCTACATCGTATTTATGTTATTTTTTCAATATTTATTATTATTATGTCTTTTTTGTATATATTTTCTAACCGATTTAAAAAAAGGTGGAGGTTTTTTTTCATTTTCATTGATTGTTGGCCCGAATTATTTTTGTCATAACGTTACTTTTCCCTTATCATAATTCATACCAGCGATAAATATAGCAACCAAATAATATGTTTTGAATAGTATGCAGAGTATCTAAGGGAATGTAACCTAAATTTTCAAATTTCTGTAATAAATAATTAATAATCTAAAAAAATATCTGGTAATAAACTTTTTTTTTATTATATTATAAACTATTGAGATAGTAGCAACAGAACAAGAAAAATTATAGCAAAAACGATGGCAAAAAAAGGTTAAGCAAGTTAAATTTAGATATTAAAACTTCGCGGAAGTAAAATTTCGCGTAAACAAAATGTTACGGAAACAAATCTTTACATATACGTACCTACGCAAAAAAAAAATCGCAGAAACAAAATAACGCGGAAACAATATTTCGCTGGAATAACTTCGCAGAAACGAATTTACCCAGTTAAAAAATCTACGCAGAAATAAAACTTCGCGGAAATGAAATTTCGCGGATACAATACTACGCGGACAAAAATGTAGTAAAACCGAATTAACGCGGAAACAATATTTCGCTTAAAAACTTCGCAGAAACGAAATTACGGAATAATAAAACTAAACAGAAATATATATAAACTATATATATAAAAAATAACTACGCGGAAAAATACTTCGTAGAAACGAAATAACGCGGAAACAATTATTACGCAATAGAAAAACTAAGCAGAAATGAGACTTCGCGGAAACCAAATTTCGCGGATACAAAACAACGCGGAAAAATAACTTCGTAAAAATGAAACTTCGTGGAAACCAAACTTCGCGGAAACAAAACTTTGAACATTGACGCATGCGTATAGGAAATTAAAATATGTTGCAAAGTGAGTTGTACTATTAAGTATGAAATACTCGCACAGAACAAAATCTGAAAATAATAATAAAATTAAGCACAGATAATAAAAACGCATTACGAATAAAACAGTATTTTTGTAATACGAACATATTGGATCATCTAAAAGTGTAGCCCCCTCTCAACATCTTCGTCGTCCGAGTCATCTTCACATTTGCAGTAGCTATGTCATTTTTTTGGTGGTTCTTTAAACAGCGTCAGGAGGTAAAATACTACTAATTTTAAAATCAGCACGAACAACATCATCATGTACGCGGTCATGGTGACTATTACTATTTACTTAGATTGTGTGTAATTTAAATGATATTATTTTATTTAACGTACGTACGTAAAACTTGATAACTAATAAATTTTCAAGATATTTTGAAAGCAAGGGAAATCTTCACCAGCTTTATTGAAGTAAATAAAAACTAGACTGAAAAGTTCGGAAGTCTTATGGAATTACATCATTGCAATTTCTTTGTGCCCGAACAAAACTGAGTAAAATTTCACAAAAATCACTAACTCCCGGAAAACACTAATAAAACTTGATTTTGAATTATTTTGAGAATTTTGAATATTTAATTTTTTAGTGCACAATTTTTAAGCAAAAAAAGGAATATATTTTATTTTAATATTTCACTGAATTTATGAGAAGCGAGCGACCACTAGGAATGGAAGCAGTAGACTGATTTCACTAAGATGCAAGTGAACTGATTGGGCGCCCCAAAGTGGTAAGAATGACGAACGAGGGCTCACAACCCTTCTATTTATAGGTTTTCTGGCGCGCATGCGTTACCCTCAGTCCATAAACCTGTTGATCGTCGAAATCTACTCCCGCCCAATGGGCGTACCCATGCATTTCGCAGAACCACTCTTGTAAATGTTAATATAGTAATATATATAAATATATATATGTTGGTATATATCATACTAGTTGGTATATATATATATATATACATAACTAGCTTGTAAGTAATAGTTTTCATTAGAGAAATTGAGATATAATGCAAATTGCGATCATCTTCACAAACTCCTGTGATAGAGTATTATACCTCCGAATATCAAGTAAAAAGAGAGACGGGTTACATAGACGCCATCAGCTTAAACGATGTTGATAAAGAGCCTACAATAATACATATTCAATGTTCTAAACTTACAAGTAACTAAAACTCCAAGTAATATTACATAACTGCAAGACTAACAAAAACCGACGGCTCATACAGTTGACGGCGTTTTCCGTCGCTTACATATATTCTACAAAATAAATAGGTTATATACCTACTTATATACGTAACACATAATTCAATGTGATGCCTCTTGTGAATGGCTTACACGTGGATACCAAACTATAGCGTTAATAAAAGGTAATCATGTAGCCTACTATTTCTGTCGAATCACAAATTTGGTAATGATATTGGAATCAGATTATATTTACTTGTTAGATAATGTTAGGTAGGTAAATCACGATATCTATACCTTAGAGGAAGTAAATTTTTATTGAAAGCATGTACAATAGCCTGTACCTAGCTGTTAATTTTTTAGCTTTTCAGAACTATTCGGCAGACCGAATTATAATGAAATTTGACGTGAAGATATAATGTAGATAGTAGACTATGAAACACGCAAATGAACTTCCGAGTCACTTCTTGTAATTCTTTGTAATTCTGTAATTCTTTGGTACTAATAGTTCCTAGTGATTACAATACTACTTGTAGTAATTACATATATATCACAAAATAATGATATAAGGATTGCGAAAAAACTGACAATGACTTTAGATATTGTAGTAACTTCTAGGTTTCATAATGTTTCAATCAATTAGCGACTATGTATTTTCGTGCTTATATTTATATATAACAAGCAAGTAACCTTAGCGTTAATATTTTTGTACAAAAATGGAATGAACCTTATGACTAATATGGAGATATGTATACGTATTTTAACATATAGTAGTTATATAAATATCTTCCATCCTAATTTCATGTAATACGAGTTTCGTCAATTATAGTTCTGAATATAAAGTTTTCATTAAAAGAATCTATTTAAGTTGGAATTACGTAAAAGCCGTCGGGCCGTCTGATATAAAATGTAACCGTCGGATATAAATCTCGTAAATCCTATTTATTAGTATTTAAAACTATTCATTCAGATTAGATTGCATTGTTATTCAATTATTATAAAAAATAAATCGAATTCTATCAAGTTATTTAATGAGGGAGAGTAAAAAAAGGATTAAATCAACATGAAGTTCATAACAATAAAATACGTATTACACGAATGAAATTATTGTAACACAAATAATATTACAAAAATAAATGCTCATATATTTAACTAACTCGGCATACAGACGACTAAATGGTTTTCAATTAAATTTTGCATATAACCACGGCGTAAATGAGAATTGGATTACCACCACAGTATGAATATGAATATTACTTTTCATAATGTACATATATTTCAGATGTAGGTAAGTTCTTCGTAATATGTAAAGTTCAGTAATTATATGTAATTGTTAATTCGTTACATTCGGAACGGGTACTTTTTTCTGAAACTTTGCTCGTCGCCTATTTATAAATATCTAACATTAGAACTCCGAAAATTAGATATGTTTAGTGACATGATAACATTAAAAATATTTTTTCGTGTATATACATATATGTACTTTTCAGTTTGATAGAATGCGCTTTGAAATGAGACTTTTTGCAACAATTATGTGTTAGTAATAACCATACAATATATGATGATAGCCGCAACTTCTTCATAGAATATCTTTTTTTTGTTCATATTCTCCTTCCATATCACCTTATTCTAGATTATTTTTCGGTGACAAATGTGTCTACTAGGTTGCGAGTCTGTCAGACAAGGACCCAACCACTTGTATTCATGAGTACCTATGTTTGTATTGATATGGGTGATTGATGTAGCTATGACTGATGTACAAACACTATAATTATGCTTACTAAAATGTATTTAAGTTATCTATCAGCTGTTTATTGCCGTAATAGGTGTATGCTGTAGGTTCTTAGTTTTATGAGTAACAGCGATGCATGAATTACGTTCAGTTATTATTATTGTAATGTTTATAAAAATCGTAAAACTATATTCCTAATGTAGGTACATGTTGATTTAAAATCAGTTATGTGCGACGGAAGAGCAATTTGTACATATATATATATATACTTTAAAACTCTTCGTACTCTTATATCAAATACCTAATTATATTCTTAAAAATCTTCGGAAAACTCATACGTAAACCTAATTTGAATATTTTAAGTGAGTTAATAAGTAGAGCAGTAATAATATATTGTACTGTAACTGAATCCCGCACATGAGAGAGAGAGAGAGAGAGAGAGAGAGAGAGAGATGGAGCGATTACCCGTTTCCCCAGCACACGTAGCAAAAAATCTCAAAAGGAATCAATTTTCCTCGTTTTTGTAACACTTATCATTACTTATAAGTAAACACGACATGCAGAGTAACACACAAAAATTATATAAAATCTTAAATTAACTGGTTTTTTATTATTATGTTTATTATTATTACTAGAAAATAGATTTTGTAGAAAAAATCGCAAAGGAACAAACCGATATGCGTTTGAATGACGTATCTAGTGTTTGTGTATGTGTATGTGTGTGTATTAGTTTTATGGGGACGCTGATGGTTCACCAGTGGAGGATAATATGATGAGCATGAATTTAGGGTAAATGGTTAGCGCAGACCGGTCATTTGTCATTCCATTATCATCCATGTAAAAAAACGATCCTTCCCCCCCCCTCGTGAGTTGAATCTATACGTATATATAAAGAAAATTGGAGTGTCTGTTTCTAATATTGAAATAACCGTTTTTTACTACGTGCATATGAATATAAATACGGAACATACACCAAAACAACATTTGTTACAATTTTTGTCTGTCTGTCTGTCTGTTTGTTCCGGCTAATCTCTGAAATGGCTGGACCGATTTTGACGGGACTTTTTTTTGGCAGGTAGCTGATGTAATAAGGAGTAACTTAATCTACTTTTGTTTAGGAAAAATAAAGTTAATTTCCACGCGAACGAAGTCGCGGGAACAGCTAGTACTAAAAAAAATAAAATCTACCGCTGCTCCAATACAATTTTTTCAGTTGTTTCTGGGACTAGCGCGTCGAACTAAACAAATAAAGAAACTCGTCAGCTTATAATGTTAGTATAGATTTGAGGCTATCCATAAATATACACACTACATAACATTAAATATAAAACAAGTTAAATGAAAAGTCTTATGTTTCTTCAGTTCATGTTTAAACTAAATTGGAAATGTTTTTCCACAGAGTATAATAAATTTTCGGTAGAATTCTAAAAAGTTACTGTAGGATTTGGTAGAAATGAACAAACTAACAGTGGTCACACATCACGATGTGTGACTTAATTTTATAAGAAAATACGGAAGAAATGCTTGTTATTGTTGTAGTAAACCCTTTCCAATAAGTAAGACACAGTAGGCCACATCTAATTATTATAATATTTAATTATTATATTATGTAAGATACAAATAATAATTAGATACACAATAATACAGCTATGTACTTATACTTGTAACTTATGTGAAACAAAATTGTCCAATTAATCTTGTTTAGACTTTCTTAAGTTTTTTATTAATGAAGACGGGACCTAGAAGTCCCATCTACAGAAAACACTAATGCCTGAGCATTAGCACAAGTTACGGGGGATAAGGAATAAATTTTACATTAAAGCACTAAGTCTATAGATTCAGAAATAAATTATTATGGGGGAAAACATAATGTTAGCTATGGATCGAGAGAGTTTTTTTTATATCATCATCATCAATCATGATATGACGATGATTATGATGAATATCACCGTCATCTTCATATTATCAGGCATCATGCAAAAGGTGTAGACAGTATGCAGACAGTCACTTTCAGAAATAATGGCCAAATTGTTATATGCACTCTGTTGGTATATTATTATATCTTTTTATTCGATTCATATATGTATAGAATAGGTATATCATTGAAATAAATATTTTTATGTCGATTAATATGTTTTCGATATATTTAAATGAACTTATTTAACGTAATTTATCTTTATTTAATTTATGTAATGATATAAGAATAAATAAAGTTAGTTTGTATATAATAAGGATTTGAAATATTTTCTTAACATATTAAGCAGTCTAAACATTATATTTTTAACAATATTAACAAAACGCTTTATATTATTTTAATAATGGCTAGAACAAGGAGTCTTAACTAGTTATTTAGGAAATAAGTATTACGATACATAATTGTTTTTATTATGTTTTTTTTTCTATATAAAATTATTCACATAACCTTATTCATAAAACAATCTATCAAAGTATCTTTAGAATTTACTCAAATAATAAAAACTAGTTTTTGTATTCAAATACGATAATATTGCTACCAATTGTGTCTTCTTTCAAATTCTTATAATGGCAATACATTCAGTCGTATGTCATTTACAATCACAAACGTACGTACATTGTTTCTCAGTGTTTTTTTGTTCTATATTTCAATTTTATTTGCTATTGTTTGTGTTATCGATAAAACTTCAAGTTGTGTTAAGTGAATTATAAGTTATATCTGCACGTTACATTGTTTTAATTGTGCCATACGTTTGCAGTTTCGTAGTGACTCAACTTTTTGTTTGTGTGCTACATTAAATGAGTAGAATCATAATGTTATCGATGTGTAAATAGTCGTACCAGGTCAGCTCAAGAGATCTTAAGGATATGGATACACCGCCGGTTCCGAAGCCTCGGAGTGTTTTAACCGTACCAAATGACCATATTAAGCAACCTATACCTCTCCCGCGGACTAAGATCACTGAAAACAATGAGAAATCTTTATCTACGGGTTTAATGAAATCCCTCAATACTGTTTCGAAAATTACGGGTGATGTTGCGAACAAAGTGGCGACTACCACGAAAACAGCCAGAGAGGACAGTTCCAAGTTTGCTAAAGAAACACTTGAGAAGACCTTGTCTACATCTAGGTCTGTGATAGACAGTACCAAGTCCAGTTTAAAACTGCGTAGGTTGAGGAAATTCAGCACTGATGATAATGCTAATAAGCATGTGTCAATGCCTTGTATTGATACCAGAATGTTTGAAAATATACAGTTTCAGTCTCCAATGTTAGAACAAAAACAGTTTAGAAAGGAAAATGTGAATGATATACCATCACTTCAACTCAATGCAACATATTATGATGACCTCTCATTATTTTCTAGTAATTCAGATTCCAAATCAGAGACTTTGAGCGATTTCTCCCGGGACAGTTCAGAATTTGAGCAGAACCATAGTATACATGTGGAACATGAACGAATGACATATGATACACCCAGACAATCTAGAACCAATAGTATAATTGAGAGAGTGGCTCCTGACCCACCAGAGATAAGGAGGAAGCGTACTAGTGAAATAAGCATGATGAGGAATAATTCTCTATATGAAAACTGGTCACTGCCAAATTCAACCAAAAACAATACTGAATATACAAAGAAACATTCAACAGAGGAAGCTAGTAACAACTATGAATTTGAAATGGATGACAGGCCCAGTAAGAGTACAATACTGTTGTTTGATCCATTAAATACAGCATCATCAACTAAGAAATATGATGGTGTTAGTAATGAATTGCTACTGTTAGAATCATTCCTAATAGAAGATACATATGGTTCAATAATAAGTACGGACAACCATGATGATCTATCAGAATATAGGGAATCTGATTATTTCAACCCACCAACACCACCAGAAAGATCTGATAGCCTTTTCCCAACTATATCGACAAATGAAAATAATAATGAAATACCAGTCCCAGATTCAGTGCAGGACACTACAAAATCTGCCACAAATGACACTAAAAAGCCACAGTCTGTTATGCACAAGTTTTCACAAATATTAAAACTGGATAATGTTTTGAACAAGCAGTCGAAACAAGAGAACTTGAATTTACACATTGTGGAGAGGCCGTTAATAAGTCCATTGGAGGGTCCATACTTTTGTGGTATAATAACTCGGATTGCAGCAAGCGTTGGTGAGGATCTGTTCAAAAATTCACAGTCCAGATACTGTGTACTCTCCAATAAAAAACTCATATGCTATTCAGATCCAACTAATTCTATTTTGAAAGAAGCTTACACTTTGGACAATGTGTATTCTATTCAATTAGTGCTGCCTATATCTTCTAGGTAAGTTTTGAAATGTTTATTTAAACTGAACTGAATAAATTTTAGTTTAATTTAGTGTATTCATGTCTTGTGACTTAATTTGGTTTAGGATAAAAGTATACAAAGTAGTAATCTAGGTTATTGTCTGTCAGTCTACTATTATAATACATAGCTATTTAATTAAAAATGAATGATTTAGTAACAAACATATACTTACTTACTTTTTTCATAAAATAGATTTCTCATCTAATCTAACATTCACATTTATAATAACATAAATACTATGGGATGGTTTTCTATGTGGAATTCCTTGTGTACTAAAGGTTACACTAAATCTTTGTTATAATTGTGTATAATATATATAAAAAAAAATACTTGTATTTATTTTCATATGCACAATTCAAATTACAGAAACAATTGATATCTATTTTTATAAGGAAATATTGAATATTTAAAAGGATAAATTGAAAAGTTACAAAAATAATCCTTGTAACTTAAATATGAACAACCAATAATAACTAATGACCTGAATATTATATGTAATGTGTGCTACTTATATTTGTATTTCAATTGCATTACAGTCAGTAAAAATGTGTGAATATTAAAGGTTTATTTCATATTGACATTTAAATACTTGAATGGATGAAGAAGTTTGGTATTTAAATTTATTTGATATCTTAAGATATAAAGATAGATAGATATTTATTTTTCCTGAATTCATATTGACAGACCCAATAAATAGTGTCAGTTATCTTATTGAACACTTTCTTTGATTTAAATTAGGTTCAGGCTGAAACATTAAAATTTAAATGACTTTTCTTAGAATTAACATTGTTATATTTAAAAGATAAATAATTTACATTATTATTGTTATAATTATAACAAATAGCTCTCAACAACTCATAAAGCTTTCTATACTCTCAAAGCTTTCTGTAAACAGAGATAGTGTTAAACTACACTTTTATAGTCAATACATGTGTTTAAAAACTATTTGTAAAAAAATTAAAATAGAAGGGTGTCTAATTTTATAAACTAGGTATTTATTTTTTGTATTGAAGAAAATTTGTGCGCCCCTACTCTTTTCTCAATTTATATAACAAATTATATATATATTTTTCTTAGTTCCAGTACTTAGTAAGAAATTTCATAAACAATATACAAAAAATTTATACTGCATTGTATATTGTGTTTGCTGTCTACTTATTATGTATACTGTCATCCCAATGTACTGAAAATTGACAAGTTATATATTGCAATATTATAATAATTATTATAATGAATATATAACAAGTCTGATAATTACTAAGCAGGAAATAGGACATGATACTTTGTATTAAAATAATGAAACCACATTATATCCATGCTCATTTAAAATATCTTAATAAACCTGTGGCTCATAGATATGTATATATTATATACAGGTTCTCACTATAAGTACATATCTGAATATGAATATATTTTTTTAAACAATGCTTTGTTACCTGACCCTGATTATTTTACACAGCGCCATCTAGTCCCAAATTGATCAGATACTTATTATCCTGTGAGTACTAGACCACTATTACCTATTTTTTGTCATTAATTCATTATTATTTATATGTATATATTATGTATTAGGAAAGCATTCAAACAGATACATGTAGCAGTTATACTTGTCACCATACATATAAAAAGTATATTCGTGTCGGCCTCTACATTCAATATTTAATAGGGAGTTAACTATTGCCAGCAACTTTTGAGTTTCTATCGGAAAGCCGGATGTTATCATGAATACAAATGTTTGTGTGTGGAGATCGAAGCTAAGAACATCGGTAGTTGACCACAGAGGTGGTATTGAATCATCTTCTCTATTTATATTGTATAACATTGAGTAGATGTATATAATATAGTAAAAAGATTGTATACTAACTGTTCCCCCCGACTTGTTATGCATTAACTATGTCTTTACCTACTGAATATATTACGATGGCCCTATGTCACTAATTCCAGATTATTTTTGAGATAAAAGATAGTCTATAGTGATATTATTTATTTTCATGTTAACTAACATAAGATCCTTTTAGCCTTTTAGTTTTAAAAGGAAAGAAACATATAGACTCTCTTACCCGTTTATAATATTAGTGTGAATTAAATTTCTGAATAGGTCATGTAACTCTTATTAACTACTGTTAGTGATTTATTTACATTAAAATCAACCGAACTCAATGGGTATGCGTTATTCATTACATAATTTTCTTTAATGGTTGATAATAGAATGGTTTATCCGCCTGCATTAACGGTTTACGCTGGCGGGGCACCAGTGGAGGACGTTAGCATGAGGTTAGGTCAGTTCCACTATTTATCATGTTCATTTCCAGGGCGAACCGCGTAGAGTCAACCAGACATGGTACATTGCTTGCAATGGGGTCATCAGTCCACATTACTAACAATTCTCTATTACCCCGCGCTACATCATTGCCATGCTCACTTTCTAGACCCTTTTAGAGTCATTAGACCAATTTAGTGACCACAATATTAATTTGTAATACATACGTATGCAAAATCGTAACGTAACGTATGTAAAATGTTAATAGGTGATTAAAGTGATTTTTTAATAAAACGTGGGAATGAGGTTATCCAAGTGCCTTACGAAGGAATTTATATAATCGGTAGATGCGAGTTTAAATATAATTATTAATTTAGATTTGAATGGAATGAGCGACAATTCTTTAGGGATGCAACTGCAACAACTTGTCAACCACACTGTGCGACGTTCATTTTTTGTCTTTATCTTAACACTTCATAAAGTAATTACATTAATACGTGTGAGAAGTGCAGAATACTAATATATATTTTTAGTTATACATAAAACATACATTATTAAATCAATAAAAAAACACACACTACCATTATATTACACGACTGATAACAAAACGTCAATGTTAAATAATGTCAATATTGTTATTTGTCAATACAGCGAAACGAGTTTGTTTCTGTGCTGTTATCAAAGTAATTAATATGAGGCTAGTCTTTGAAAATAGAACGTTAATAATGTTCAAACTTTTAATTTAAACTAATTATGGTAGGATTTCTACCACGTGGCGACCAGTAACTAATTATAATAAAGTCTTGTACTTATACTATAGTTCTGTAGAACGACACGTTGGTATTTGTCTTGCAACTTAGAATATGAGATTATAAATTCACATTTGTAGTGTTGCTATATTTAATTTAAATTATAAAATAATTAATTGTGTCATCGATCAATAGTATTTAAGTGTAATAAACTATTAATTTACGATCGATATGATAAATTCATATCGATCATAAATTAATAAAAAGAGTCCAAGAGTCTCGTAGTCGGACTTAATAGATTGATCACCATGCCAGAAGCAAATATGATTTTCCAGTTTTTTTCTGTTTCTTCGAGCTTTACTATAATTGTGTATTAACATTATTTTATAAAAGGTTTGTACTGTAAAACTATACTATGCATAAGTACTAATCTTATTTAAAATTTTCAATAATTTATATAATATTACGAGAATAGATATGTATTCAATAATTTATGCTGTCTTTTACTCAAAAAAGAATATGAAAGGGTATCCTAAGGAAGGGAGAAAGTTTGTGGTAATCCCGGGTAATCGTTAGTATTATAAATGTGGAAGTGTGTCTGTTTGTTACCTTTTCACTACTAAATGGATGTACGAATTTTAATGATACTTTTAGTGAAGATAGATTTTAGGATGAAATTAAGCTACCTTTTATCTTCAACAAAGTCACAAGCAACAGATAGTCATTTTGTTTTTAGCCTTGTGTAAGGCGAAGCGACGAAAAACTGTTCATGCCAATAGAATATATAATTTTACATACAGTTTTCTTGTAAGAGATTACGTGCATTTTGCACAGACCACAGAATAGTGAAATATTAGTTTGCCCCCATATTTTTGACACAGTTTACAACTATTTACTTATTGTATTTATTCAAGTGTACTTTTACAAGTTTTACTTGTTGTCATGTGTCTTCTTTAATTGTGTAATGCAATTAAAATAGGTATAATATATTTATTGTATTATATTTTTCTATTAAATTTTTGTTTTGCGAAAAGTATTATTTTATTTATTTATATTATACAAGGGGCCCGTCCCAGCTGTGCACAGGTGGTTTACTTTTTTTTTATTTTCTCGGTTTGTACTATACTATAACGCGCGTATATTATACATATAAACCTTCCTCTTGAATAACTCTATCTATTGCTGAACACTGCATTAAAACCCGTTGCACAATTCAAAAGATACAAGCGAACAGCAGTAGCGGACTTTGTTTTATATGATGTAAAGATTTATTACTCGTGGTGTCCTAGACTTACTACGTGTGTTCATGTGTAAACACTGTCTATTATTGAGAATTAAAAATAATCACACTCTATTAAAATTAGAAAATAGTAATAAATAAATCGTAGGTGGCGTATTAAAACCATTTGAAGGCTATGTCATCCTTTGGGGGTGTTTTGCTCAGCTTTCTGTTGGCTATATGTTCCATTAGAATATATGCTGATTAATACAACATATTCTAACAAGTTTCATTGTAATACCTCCAGCGATTTTTACGCGAAACTTTACCATACAAACAGGTAGATTTCGCCTCGTCCTGATTTTATATTGTATTTAGAATTTGTAGTTAGAAGTACACAGAATTTCTGAGTAGTCTATATGTTGGTTTTATGAATACTAACGATGCGAATAACTCAGAGATCTAACTCTATGACTTGCTGTCTGAATGAAAGACTTAATCTAAAGCCAGTCAATGATATTCAGGCGAATACCGGTTTAAGCCATTACTAAAGCATGAAAGGATGAGTCTAAAGCTAACACATCGTGCCCAATTAACCCGGATTTATTCACGATACCTCAAAGTGGGTACGTCGAGGAAATTTAACCTGTTGCTATAATTCCTGATTACATTAATCTGCACTCCTTTCGATGTTAGCGGTATAGGTACGGATCGGAATGGCAGTGGTAGTATAAAAAGAATTATCACT